CGTACCTTTACTACTAATGTTGTATTCGAAGAGGTGTTCTCAAAATGTGTAAAAATGTGTAATAATTTAGAACTTCAGAGAATTAAATTTTCTTCTCTCAATTTATATGTTTGATCTAGGCTGTACATAGTTGGTTGCATATAGTATTCATTCATTTTCATCATATTTTTTAAATTTTGTTCATTTGTTATAGGCCTAATTGCCAGTAAAATCATGACCTTACAACTTTTTGTCGTTTTAACCAAACTTTTGAAATTTAGCAAATATAACATAACCTTGTCTATTTTTGGCAATTCGAATGACCGGGCCGAATTTCGGGCTTTGTCTGCAGAGGTGGCTGATGACATGGCGATTTATGTTGATGTGGCTGATGACGTGGCAAATTATAGTGACGTGGCTGGTGATGTGGCAGTAAAAAAAATTATGCAACACTGGGGTTCGAACTTGGGACCTCAAACTTGTATTATGGCATTATAACCACCACAACACTCCAAGTTGTATGTTAAAATTAAAACGCTTAATATATATAGACAATATGTATGAATAAATCAAATTAAATTAAAAAGTTAATATAAATTTTAAATTATATTAATAAGATGCAAACTTATAATAATTAAAATATAATAAAATAAATTATATAATACTAAATGAAAATAATATAATATTAGATAATAAAGTATAAAAAATGGCAAAGTAAAATAAAAAAAAAAATAAAATATAAGCCAATTAAAATAATAAATTAAAACAAATATCTTATATGAATATAATAAACTAAAGAAATATTATTTGAGTTTATTATAATTAATAATTTATTAAATTATTATATTAAAAATAATATATATAATTTATTAATTTACAATATTCACATAATATTTTTATTTAATTATAATTAATAATCTATTAGCATATTATACTAAAAATGAATACAATAAAATAAAGAAATATCTGAATATAATAATTTATTAAATTATTATATTAAAAATAATATAAATAAGTTATTAAATTACTATATTCAAATAATATTTTTTATTTTATTATAATTTGTAATTTATTGAAAAATAATATAAAAAATTTATTAACTTATTATTTTAAAAAATGAATATAACAAAATAATGAAATATTATTGACATATTAGAGAAAATCTACTCATATTATATATGCCATTATATAATAATTTATTTAATAATTATATAAAAAATAATATAAATAATTTATAAATTACTATATTTAAATATTTTAATAACTATGAAATATATAAATTTAATTTAATAAATATGAAATATATAATTTCATTTAGTTTTATTTAACTTAAATTTAGTCTACTATAAAATAATTTATCTTACTTTATTTTAGTTTATTTTATTTAATATTATATAATTTATTTTGTTATGTTTTAATTATTATAAGTTTATATATTATTAATATAATTTACATTATATTTTGAATTCGATTTGATTTATTCATATGTAGTGTCTATATATATATATATAGGGTTGGGTTCACATGAGAATGGTTCCCCATGAAAGAAATGAGAATAAATCGTAACCCTTAAATCATCCGATCTAATGGCTAAAATAAAAAGTAAAATTATATCAGCATTAAGGGTAATGTAGTAATTTTCCACACTACATTCAAACACATGGGTCCTACTACACATTAAATAATTGCCACCTAACCCACCTACCAAACAAACCACCCACACCACCCCTACAGCACCCCACCCCATCCCATTAAGTCGTCTCTCTCGCAAAAAAACACGCACACACACAGTAACACCTCACACACACAAATCACTCACACAGACACACACACAGACACACACACACACACTCACACACACAAACACACACACACACACTCACACACACAAACACACACACACAAACACACACACACACAAACACACACACACACACACGACCACCGCCGTGGCTGGAGCATCTCCTCCGCAATACCACCGCCGCCTGAGCATCCCCGCCGCCAATGGAGCATCCCCGCCGTCGTCGGAGCACCCCGCCGCCTTTGGAGCATCCCACGCTCTGTCTTTCTCTCGCCAAAACACACAGCCCATCGTTGCCTTCTCCTGGCCGTCGATATCTGTCTCCGGTTGCAATCACTTCGAGGCGGTTGTGACAGCCACGTCGATCTTCGATCTTCGAGCATCGATTGCACTCACTCCGCCGCGACTCTATTTTCTTGAGGTGTCCCGAATCTGAGGTCGTAAACACCGTTGCCGGCGTTGAAGAATGGCGGCAAACCGGCGAAAATCCGACATCGTTTTGTGGTTGGGTGAGAGATCGATCTCAGGTCGCCGGTCGCCGGAAGACTCTGCTGCTTTCTCAAGGTCGTCGTGATATCCGCCGCCTCCGGCAGCTCGAGCCACCCTGGTCGGCGTTAGAGATGGTGATAGGGCTGTGTGGATGTGAAAGTGAATTGTGGGGTTTGGCATTTTTTGTGAGAATTAGATGAAATCTAAGGACCTATTTGAAATTTTATAAATTTAACTATATTTCAATTTAACCCCATGGGTTAAATT